CAATGCGGATTGCGGAAGTTGAAAATTTTATGAAATGACATGTTTGCGAAGTGCAAACCGCGATTTTTTAATCAAACAAAAATTTATGACATTCGAGCCGCGAGATTTCATACCTACTGAAATTATATGATATTAGAGCCGCGATATTTCAGACAAAAATAGGACTTTTCCAGACTAGGTTGCGGTCATGTCAAAGCGGTCAGACTGTATATTAACACGTGCTGAACTTACAGTAGAGACAAATTTTACTGTTGCCGTTTGACTGTTTAAGGGTAAAATTAGAGATTTGGGGTAACACGTGCATAAACTTTGTAAATAAATTCGCATTCGCACCTCGTAAATGGCTTTTCATGGCCGAGATATGGAATTCACGGCTCGGTGAAATAGAATCACGGCTCGTAGAAATGGAATCACGGCTGGCAAATCCATAAAACCACGGCTCGAAAAATTCAGTCGCGGCTCGCCAAGTAGATATATTCCATACTAGGCTCCCAGAAGCCCAGAAGGGAACTTTTTTGAGCAACATCATGAATGAACCCAGACTGCGTCCCTGGCTCAGCCTGAAGTCTCGCAAACTTGAGTGTGCTGCTGCTCGACATCAGGATTGGACATGCCGGCGTCAGAAGTCCTTGCACAGTCTCACAGATTTAACATGAGCGACTCTGATGATCTGATCAATGTGCTACGTGCAACACTCAACACTGTGGTGACGGTGTGTGGTCTGTGGACTGTGGATACTGGATACTATAGACATAGAGCACTACCTGCTGCATTGCCAGAATGCCAGCATCATGCGCAGCCCAGACAAGAGCTGGAAACTAATTTAAGATGTTTAAATGTTAATTTTTTTTTGTGTGAACTTTTTCAGGGGGAGGTAGGGTAAACGCGGTATATTCCGACACATTAAGGACGCATCGAGAAATGAAAAACTATAAAAAAAACCGTATGCGTTACGTAAGTTCTGTTGCCTTCACATGACTCTCAAAACACTTCACTACGCGTCAGCAACGATGAAACGTCACAAAATGTTGCCATATTTATTAAAAAGCCTTTAGAATGGAAACCTACCAAATCCCTATATTCCGTCACTTTGTGTGGCAATATTCAACCTGTCTCTTATACACATCTAGATGTGTATAAGAGACAGATACCGCGTTTACCCTAATAACGATGATGATGTGCAAAGGAAAATATCTCAACTCTTGACTACCGTCAGCGTCAAACGGGGCAAAAAGGGACGGGCGGGGTAAATCGGGATGCGTGTCCCACATTTCATAGAAATGTTGTAGCAGCTAAACTAATCAAAATATTGCAAAACTAAAAATAGTGGCGTAAACTTCAAAATTTTTACTATCTGTTATGTATAAAGCTAGTCAAGAAATCAAACATTTACTATCTCTAAAAAATTGCTGAAAAAAATTGTGAAAAGTGCAATTTTGGAAAAGTACCTCTGCTAAGGTCTGGAGCAAAATGAAAAAATTTGCCGTTTAAAAAAATTTTACTTATATAAAAGTTGCACCCAGGTGTCGGCTTGAAAACGTAATTGACGGAATTGTCCTATCTCATTCCAAAAAAAGATGGCAGCCATTTCCGCACGGCGGGGCCCATACCCAGGGCCAGGATGTTGGCATGGTGCTGTTTTCCGCGGATTAATCCGGCGTAAACGAGGCTCCAAGCCCTTCTACTGGCGTACAATGCGGCATACAAGGAGCTAAAATAATGTTATTGGTGTACACTCCCAGGCTCCCAGCGTATGACCACATCTGGCTAACTGGCTTGTCTTGGGACTCTTGGCATACGTCTGCATCTGGGTGATCTGGCTTGTCCCGACGTACGTCCTCATCTGGTTTTGAGCATTTTAGTGCATACGAATGCGTTTTAAGGCGATTTAGGGCCTTCTAATGCGATCCAGTGCGTTCTAATGCGATCTTGTGCCTTCTAATGGCGATCTTGTGCCATTTAATGCAATCTAGTGCGTTCTATTACGATCTTGTGCCTTCTAATGCGATCTAGTGCATTCTATTATGATCTTGTGCCTTCTAATGCAATCTAGTGCATTCTATTATGATCTTGTGCCTTCTAATGCAATCTAGTGCGTTCTATTACGATCTTGTGCCTTCTAATGCAATCTAGTGCGTTCTAATGCAATCTTGTGCCTTCTAATGCGATATTGTGCCATTTAATGCGATATAGTGCGTTCTATTATGATCTTGGGCCTTCTAATGCGATCTAGTGCGTTCTAATGCGATCTAGTGCGTTCTAATGCGATCTTGTGCCTTCTAATGCAATCTAGTGCCTTCTAATGCGACCTAGTGGCTTCTAATGCGATCTAGTGCGTTCTATTATGATCTTGTGCCTTCTAATGCGGTCTAGTGCCTTCTAATGCGATCTAGTGCCTTCTAATGCGATCTAGTGCGTTTTATTGCGATCCGGTGCCTTCTATTGCGATCCTGTGCCTTCTATTGCGATCCTGTGCCTTCTATTGCGATCTTATGCCTTCTAATGCGATCTAGTGCCTTCTATTGCAATCTAGTGCCTTCTATTGCGATCTAGTGCCTTCTAATGCGATCTAGTGCCTTCTAATGCGATCTAGTGCCTTCTAATGCGATCTAGTGCCTTCTAATGCGATCTAGTGCCTTCTAATGCGATTTAGTGCCTTCTAATGCAATACAGTGCCTTCTAATGTGATCTAGTGCCTTCTAATGTGAACACCTTGTAAATGACATTTTCTGTGATTTTTACTTGTTTTTCCTTTATTGATATGATATTACCATAAACATTAATTACCCTCAACTGGGGTGACTTTGGCCTTGTTTTTGATTCATGCTGGGGTCCTAAACGCGGGGTCGTAAACGAGTTTTTGGGGGTGTCCCGAATAGCCCCGGGGGGGGGGGTGTCCCGAGTAGCCCCGCCGTGCGGAAATGGCTGCCATTTCTTTTTGGAATGAGATAGGCAAATTCTGTCAATTACGTTTTCAAGCCGACACCTGGGTGCAACTTTTATGTAAGTAAAATTTTTTAATACGGCAAATATTTTTTTTGCTACATACCTTAGCAGGTGTAACTTTACAAAATATAGTTTTTCACCATTTTTTCAGGAATTTTTCAAAGCAAGTAAATGTAGTATTTTTCGACTTCCTTGATACTACATAGATAGGAAAAACGTTGACGTTTACACCACTATTTTTAGTTTTGCAATATTCCAATTAGTTTTGCTACTACAACAGTTTTACGACGTGTCGGAGGCCTGTCCCGAGTAGCCCTGCTTGTCCCGAGTAGCCCCGGTTGACGGTACTTTTCTGAAATCTCACTTTTCACACTTTTTCAGGAATTTTTTGGAGGTAATAAATGTATGATTTCTCAACTAGCTTTATGCTACATAGATAATAAAAATGTTGAACTTCATGCCACTATTTTTAGTTTTGCAATATTTTGATTAGTTTTGCTGCTACAACATTTTTACAAAAATGTGGGATGACTGTCCTGATTTACCCCTCCCATCCCTTATTACCCCCATTGGAGCATATTACATCATGAAGCTTTTTATCCCAGGCTGTTTGGGGTAACGAGCATTGATTACCAGTATCAGAAGTTCTAAATCACTTACTGAAATAACTTCTTTCCATATGTATGTATATTGCTACATTTATACTCCTTTATTCTCATTTTCAATTGATATCCATTAGGTATATTTTCAATGAGCATGAACATGAATAACAATGTGACAAGAGTTTTTCTGGCTTCACTGCTTCAGATTAGTTCCTAAAGTCTTTCAAATTCCTAACATAGTGTAGAATTGGGTAGAGATTATAAATCCAGTGATTTTAATGTAAAAAAGGTAAATAAATGGTGTTAATCATTCTTGCCAATTTAGGTTTTGATAGAATCTACGTTTTTTGTCAAGATATGTATCAAAATTTCCTTCTAATCTTACTTTATACTCCATTGTTGATCAGATTAAAAAGTATGGTGAATATTCAGAGAAGCGTTCACAATTTTTTCTCTTCCAAGAAAATCAAATTGCCAGAAGAATGGATTGAAGCTTGTATTAACTGGCTCCAAGAAGAGCATCCAAATGAACCACAGAATGTAAGTAGCAATAGCTGACAAGGGATTATGCTGACAAGTGTTTGTCATCTGATTGTGTGTAAAACTGCTCACCAAAGTTATGGGTATTTTTGGTATAAACCTATGTATTTTTGCTATAAACCATTTCCTGAATTAAGAGGTTTCATCTTGTCACAAAGCTAATGTCAAAGCCACACTATTGTCATCAATGTGAGGACTGGTATACATGTACTATTGCTATCGTTTAAAACAGTTCCATATGAATCTTGTAGAGGTTGTTTTGGTGTAAAAGTTCAATTTTTTCACCATTTACATTTCAGAAATAAATTTATATCCCCTTTTGTATTCAACATCAATGAAATAAATTCTCCAAAATTTTTTCTCTTTATTTAAACATGTTTACTGTATTCCCCAGAAATGTTGAGAAAAATATAAAGGAGACCAATTTATATGAAAACTTCTTTTGATTGTTATTCTTTCCACCATCCAAGCTTAGGTAATTTCATAAATGATTGAGTCCTATTGGCAATGTGCATTTTAAATCAGTTAAGGGCTTAATTAATGATTAAGTTTTTTCATAAAAATTCATTAATATAGTTTTTTATCCATGATTTGTGTTCAAACGTTTGAATGCTTTTAACATGTTACCTAACATGAACTAAATAATCAAGAAGTCTTATGAAGTCTTACAAGACTTTGTAAGTAGTTACAAAGGCTGAAAATGTCTAATTCCATCTTACAAATAGAGGCATGGATGATAAGTAGAAATGTGTGACATGGGATCTCCATCAACACAATTTTAGGAGTGAAGGTGCAAAAATTCAAAGTTAATTTAATCTTATTATCTCCTTTAATGGGTGGCATTGTCACTGCAATTGTCAAGCACATTGATTAGTCTAACTTCTATTTCTATAACAATTCTTTTGTGCTCCTTGCCATGCCTTTTCCAGTGAATTTAATAGCACTGGCAGCTACACTATTATAAAAGTTGTTGCCAAATTTGTATGATTTTGAAGTTTGATTTCTGTAAAAAACCAGCCAAACTGATTTTAGGTGCAGAAATTGCATCATTTATCATCTCTTCATCTTGGATGTTGCTCCATTTATCAGTCACCATTAACACCTTTAATATGATTCAACTTCAAAACTGATTGAAAAGAATCATAATTGTTAGAATCAATTCATTTTTAATTTTTAAAATTAATGAAAAACATGTTTTCCATTAAGAACCACATGATGAAACATTCATCTATCACATCATGTCCTGTGTTATGTCCTGATCTATGTAACCTACTATACATTCCAAGATTTAATTCTTTTAACAACAAATGCATATGCATGGCCAAAATTGGAAACATTTCACTAGGGTTCCAACTGTTTATGCACCCTCAATAAAAATTGAATGCAAGAAAATTTTTTACAGCTGCCACTTGAAACTAGAAGATGAATATGCAGAGCTCTCTTAGTTGCTGTACATTACTTGAAGCATAGGTTATTAGGTATAAATGATGGAAAAGCTGTCAGTTTTATTGATTATTACAATTTTTTGTTGAGGTTTCTTCTGCTTTACTGAAGTAATGCCATATTTATATATTATGATGGGTGCAAATAAGGTTTCAGATATTTCAAGCCATTTAGAGCTTTCATTGCTCTAGTGAAGTATTCAACTTATTAATTATTATCACTTTCAGATTACAAATGCAGGGTGGATGTGCCAGAAAGCCTATGAACAATGGCTGTATACTGACCTGGCAGAGCTTGGCTGTGGCTGCTTGCCTGCAAATTTGAATGCAGGCTCCCACACCTTACAGGATGATATGGTCCTCCAGGTACGTTATCTTAACTGTTTGATTAGCAGCAAGCCCTTTCCACTGAACTGAACATGATCTCTTCATCAAACACATGCATTTTTAGGGCATTATTGAATCTATTGTATCTAGTAAAATATCAAGGTTACAGAGTGTTCTGACGTGTGTGGGGTTTTTGCACGTAGGAACTTTTAATTAATTTTTTAGCCATTTGATGATGATGCCATTTCTTGCTTTGCCATGAATAATTAGCCAGCTTATATGTCTCTCCTCATATTTCAGCATCAGTGACATGAACTCATTATCAGCAGGTAGTATTATGCTCATAATGTTCAGACTAGTTCTGTGCCATGTCTCATCCCTACCTATATCCATCCCTACCATGTCTCATCCCTATATGTACCATGTTTCATCCCAAAATATACCTATATTTTTTCAATCTAAAATTAGATTATTTGAATATGATATTCTGTTCTCATAGACTTATGAGGATAGATAGACCTTACTTATGCTGTTATAGACCTTACTTATGCTTTTTTTTCATTTTCCCTGTGTGCATAAACTTATTGGCCTAAATTTTTAAGATTTTCTCTAAATAGTCTTGTATTTTAATTTACATATGTTCCTTTGTTTTTACCCACAATTTTATATCATTGAGTTTGCTCCTACTTTTTCTTTGTTGTAATCTTTCATAATGTTTTGGACCAACATATTTTTCTCTTCTGCATCCACAAATGTTTAATGACAAAAATTCATCCTAATAATTACATGTAAGTTTGTAAATGTTTTTGCTGCAAAGGTGTTTCCTGCTTAATATTGATTTTTTTTGTTTGTTCAGATAAATTCAGTGCAGGACGTTGGTCGTCCGAGTTATGCTCAGCTGCAGCAGATAAGAAAAGATGACACACAGAACGCTCAGATCGACATGGATCAGGCCAAGCCGGTGAATAGGAGCAGCCGTATCTCATGATTAGGCTTTGACTATCTTGAGATCTCATCACCCTAAATGCATCCTGCTTTTTATTTTTCTTCAATTATGCAAGAATTATTTAAGTAAAGTGTACAATCCCAAATTATAACTTTTAATATCTGTATGGTGCACAGTGCAGTTTTTGCAATGAACTTCATGAAACATTTGAAACTTCATGTGCTTACCATAATACGTACTTTATTTATTTTGAGAGAAACTTTATGTTGGAATCGCTGCTCTTTTTGTTCTAAAGTTTGAGTCTTATTGCTTTTAAAATTATTGGCCCTTAATGTTTATTCATAAAAGGCCTTCTTAAAATGAATATTTTACCTCGGATGTGTTTCAAACTTGGAAATAGAGTTAATTTTCTTGCCAAAATATTTCATATTGGTATTTGATTTGGAATATAAGTGATAATTTGATTTTAAAAACAAATTTGAATTATATTTAAAATTCATGAAACAGGCAGTGCTCATATCTAATATGAGTTTGCAACATGTTACTTACTAATCACAAACATCTTCACTTCCGCACTGCATTATTTATTCTTCTGTTGTATTATGTTCAGCAAGCATGGGAGCCAAAACCCAATCGCCTGCTGCTGCTGTCTATGACTGATGGAGTAACAGAAATCCAGGGAATGGAGTACACGCCTCTGACGTGCCTGTCTTTGCAAACTAAACCTGGCACCAAGGTTAGCTCTCTTCAGTACTAAAAGGCCTTAAAGTCATTGTCCATTAAAAATATTCCACATCAATTCTATGAAAGAATTGTCATAGCAAATTTGTTATAAAGTTCCTAGTCGTATTTACAAAATTTCTGGAGTCAAATGCCTCGATACCTGAGATACCATCAGCCAACAAAGCATTAAACAAAATGTTCACCTGTTGACGGTCGCGAGTTGCGCGTAACGTGCGCCTGCTGTTGAGTGCAGTTGTTGGTGAAGCGTGGCGCTGAGGTGCGGTGCGGGGTGCTGCTGCTCACGGCCGCCCACGTCTATGTGCTTGGCGGTGCAGTCGATGCGCTTCTCGTCACCAACGCCCTCGAGAATAACCTCAGGAGGCAGCTGTAAGACTTTCGTGTATTCTCATCACTTGTAAATCTTCAGATATTCTTATAGCTTTGTTAACTTTAATGAGCACGATGTGACACCACAAGACCTGCGATGTGGTGTGGTGATAGTTGAGGCTCTCATCATTAAGCCCCAGTCTCCAGCCATAAATTTACAAACTACCGGATTTTTAAGGACGTTGAAACTGTTCACGTATTTCAAGCCTTGATTTTCAATCTGTATCCATAATACCCTATGTTTTCCCCTACTTGATAATGAATGTGGTTGCATTCGAAACATCGAAAATTATAATAAAATGTCCCGTGTAAACCTTATATTTGAAATTTCAAGTCCATTCAAAAGCCTATCCAACAGAGAAAGGCAATAGCAAAATTGTCAATAAGAAATACTCTCTAGTCTTCAATGAAATCTTCATTAAAGAACATCTCCTGCCGAACTACACCAATATATATACTGTATACCTTTTTCATATACCTTGATTTTGATGTATTCAGTATTTTTAGCATTTATCCATGAGGGTGACTATGTATTGCATCATTCAGATTAACTTCTTACTACGTCATGAACGCCACGCTCAAATAAGCTGCAGCAAATTAATCCAAATCTCAAACCAAATCTTATGCATGGTCAGGGGCCTTGAGGAAGTGGAAAGACCTGCCGAGTACGAAGAGCTGCCGACTGCAGCGTTGGCGTCTGCTAGTCAGGCATCTCAATATTATCCTGGTACTCAGAGTCAGAGAACATACAACACTCAAGATAGAGTTCCTTTGAGACCCATCACGCAGGTCAACAGCTCCAACCACAACACTGGTCCGTCTGCCCCTGCGATTGAGGTAATAATAATAATAATAATTATTATAGCGGTATCAGCGTTAATTAGGTCGCAGCCCTGTGGCCGATTCTTAAAATCGCGGAACATGCACAGCTTGTTGCGGGCCTTGAACCCGCACCTCTCTGCTCCAATCCTAGTACATTGAACTGTAACCACTAGGCCACCCTGTAATCGCCAGGTTTGTTGCTCTTCCTTTATTGGAAATATTCATTTCGAAAATAGTCATGACTATTTCCCGTTGCTTTTTCTCTATAATAATTGCGTGCTAAATAAGTCAACCAAAATGCAATAGTATTTATGTTCTTGGATTTTTTCGTTTCTCGCCATTATCCTTGCTTTAAAATCTTTGATTTTTCATAGGAATCCTTCTCCTGTGTTCACCACTATTATCATCACCATGCTTTGATACTTTTTACTTGTGCTTGTAATGCTGTGGCATGTCATGCTACACTGTGATGAGTTTTTGATCTTAAGTTCAGCATTCCACCTGCGATTCCAAATGTGCTTGTTTGCTCAAATTGTTGTGATAGTAGTTATAGCACCTCAATTTAGATCCTTTATCTTAACTTCGTTTAGGTTTCTTTGTATGAGTTTTTTTTACATTTTCAGCAAAGCCAGTCTGGCTCTGCAGCTGATTTGGCCGAGTTTGAGCTGGATGACGAACTTGACGCTGACATGGAAGCAGCTTTGCTGGAGGCCGAGTCGGTACTTGACTGTGCCCCAAGCTCCCACGATATCACCAACCCCGAAATGAAACATGGCATCAATAGAAATACAACTGTCACGTCTGCAAATAATTCTGTACCCGGTCTTGATAATTCGTCCGGAAACAATATCAAGAATATTAACAATAAAATTTCTAATAAAAGCGTGAATAACATTTCTTCATCGCTTCAAATCGGAGGTTCTGCTCCTTTCATTACTATAAGCCCCAAGCCTTCTAAAAGTCGGATTCTGCTTCCGTACAACCCATTTGTGGCTCCAGGCCCTGACAACCAGCCTTCTAAACCCGTCACCACCGCACCAGTCACTTCAACCTCACGCCCTGCCCCACCTCCGACTGTATCTTCCAAAGACCTTTCGCCTACTTCGGCTGGCGGAGATTTTGATGACGACGACTTCTCAGAACAGGACTTGAGTGTCTTGGAAGAAGAATTAAAGCTCGTCGAATCCCAAGAGAGCCTCAACACCGGCAATACGTTTAAAAAATGTCATCAGTCAGAAAAATTACCCCAGGTTACGTCATCCGGCGATTTTCGATCTTTCAGTAGTGAAATTAATCCTGTAAAAGTTTCCCCGTCACTCAATTTAACTCCTTTCAATCCGAAGGTTCCCATAAAATCTAATGAAACCTCCACGCAAATGCCACATTCGCTGCAGTTGAAGCATGCCTCATCAGCCCCGGTTTCTTCTACTAGACAAACGTCAAACGGGGTTGAAAACACCAACGTTGGAAACGAGTCATTAGCTTCGATTAAAACAGAAGATATTCATCGAGCTTCAATAAAACGGCCTTCCGAGCCAAGTCCTAATATTTCATCTATGTCGCCAACGTCCTGCAAAGTTCGGAAATTAAATAGCTTGGATAATTCTTTAATGCCTTCAAATAAATGTACTGAAGATGTGAGCATCTATGCAAGTAAGATTGGTGCAATAAAGAAAGGCAGCAAGACTCTGAGCGCGGATAATGTTTCTATAGTTCGACCATTGTGTGTTTCTGGAACTGTTCTTGAAGACGAGGAAAACTATAACTGCAAGCTTAGTTCAGATATAATCAAGAACGAACATGTGAAAGGGCGAATATTAAAGTTTAGTGAGAGGGCCAAAACTGAACCTCCTTTCACCTACTTGATGTTTCTGCCTGAGTCTCCCGACAAGGAACAGGTGAGATGTCCCGTTTCAACATCTGATTTTACTTCTTCGTGCTGATTTGTTTTGATTTCTCACGTGTACCCATGCGCGGACTTTAGTTTTGTGCTGTCCGTGCTCCTCATATTCCGGGCTAACATGCAAATTTGGTTTACTCAATTAAATGAAAATTCCTGATATGAAAGGGCACAAATTATAGGACTGCTTGTAACAATCATGCATCATACTACGGCAAGAATCATTTTATTGTAATAATTTCGAAGTGTGAAATGACTTCCCGTAATTATTTGAGTGCTAATTGGTGATTAATGAAAATGCAGTATTTGTCTCTTCAGTAATTATTGGTTATTGTGTTTAATTTTCCACCAAAAATTGTATATCATGTTAACGGTAGAAATATTGCTATTGAAATATACAATCACATGCCACACAAGTTTCAATTTCGCGTCATATTATCTTATATGTTTAGCGTTGAAGTTCATTATACTGGGATTTCAAGAGCCAATAGCATAGTTGCTTCTCGCCCATTGTCTGGAATTCCCTCTTGGAAGTACTGTAGTCCCTCTCCGTATTACTCGAATCTCTCTCGCTATTAATTGAATATGTTGTGAATCTTGACGCTGCCGTTGTCATTCGACAGGAGTTCGTGGTAAAGGCGTTCGTGATGACTCTGCTGTCACGACTGGAGCAGAGCGGCGGCGAGTGGCGTCTCGCCGTCCGTGTTGACGACGGGACTGCAGGTCTCGACGTGCAAGTACATGACCAGGTCATTCAATATTGAACCCTGGGTAATTTTTAGCTAGATGGAAGTATATTATAACCCTGGACGTGGCTGGCTATTTAATTACAGGCTGGCTGGACGTGGCTGGCTATTTAATTACAAGGCTGGCTGGACGTGGCTGGCTATTTAATTACAATCAACATTCCAATGTTGGATGTAGCCTATACGGCACTGTGGTGAGTTTCAAATATATGAGGACTGTACTTCCAAGTTTCATAGCATTGAGAAAGTCAAGTATTGGGTGAAGTAGCCGTAGACTTTTTTGCCACTAACTTCAATTATAACTGTCACTTATCATCCTCAGGTGCTACGCAAACTCATCGGTGTGAGTGTTTCTGAAATGCGCGAACTCAAAGCACAAGCTTCAGCGGACCCTTCCGTAAGGACGGCTCTCAGTCAGGTGGGTGCCGTTGCCGGCCGTTTCTGTGAGACCTTTTTTGCGATGTTGCTTCCTGATGAATTTTTTTGCGTGGAAATTTCCTTCCTGTATTTCTAGTCTCTCACTATGGGATCTGTCAGTTATTTATCTTGTAATTATTACCACCGCTCTCTATTTGACATATTGAATAAACCTCAAAAACCTTGTATTTAATTTGCCTAGATTTTTGCTGGCCTATTTGTACTTGTTTGCTATAGCACTGAAGGATGTATGATAGTTTCGATTTATACACTTTGTTTTCACTCTTTTTAACATTGTCTGATACATGTTGTATTAGACAATCACTTATGAATTTTTCCATAATTATAGACGAGTTTATTTGCAAGCTCTTGCATGTGATTACTTTGATTCAGTTTGTTTCGATGGTGAGAATATTTCATGTAACATTTTAATGGTGTCGTAGTAAATAAACTTTGGCTTCATGCAGAAACTGTTAAACTGTCAGCGCCAGTTGATCTCGCTGTGCTCGCTGATAACAGTGCGCGTCTCGCCTGACCTGAAGCGCCCTCTGCTGGTGAACATCGCGCCCTACAACGACACTCACGTCCTGCAGCTGCTGAGACGTGTCAAAGAACTGTCTTGATCCGTTGTCAACACTTTTATTTATTCCTCATACAAGGCTTTTCTCCCTATGCAATTTTATTGGTAAATGCCAGCCTGTGCTTTTAATGACAATGACTTTCCCCACGCGATTTTTTCCTCTAAATCACGTTATTTCTTGACCGAGTCGAAAAGTCACTGAATTTAAATTTTTTGTACACTCGTGTAATTAGTTGTTACTTGTTTTTTTCTTGGAGCTGTACCAAAGTTTATCTATCTTTTAAATTTTTTATGTTTTTTTATTACTAAAATGCGTTTGGATTAAAGTTCAAAATGAGGTCTAGGTTCGTTGGGATGATACGTGCTTGTAAATACAACGAGGGTCGCTCGTGTCACAAGAGCCCGCTTGCTCACCACAAATCAATACCATTGCCAAATCTCTGCCAGTTCCATTTTCGAAATCTCTCTGTACAAATTCATCTAAATGTGGGTAAAAGACTTTTGATTGATTTTCGTTGTAATTCAATGTGATCGTGTCACTTTTTTCGGCTGCGATTTTATGCAAAGTTGTCTTGAATGTATCCGAAATTGTTCTACTGTGCCGAATGTGCGAATAAATGTGGTATATATGTTTGAAAGTTTAGCTAATTTTAACACAAGTACCTGCAACGCACAGACTCTCGTTTTTTAAGTACAAATGCAAGTTGGGAAAGCACTGTTGTTTGATTTCAGATATACAGAACGTTACCACATTCCATTAACTTCCATTCATACATATTCCTGTCAGCTTATTTATAATTAAAAAAAAATCCGTAAGATTCTATTTTGATCTTTTTAAAATGCACCTCGTATTCAAAGCGTTTTTATTTTCATGTCTCCTGCGAAATTCCCACTCAATTTAGAATTTTTCTGCTTCCACTGAAGTTTTGCTTTACTTTATATATCTAAACCAACCGAAATGGTGATAATGTTGATGTAAATTGTCGTAGAATGTAGGCGGGTTGATTACTACTGCTTTTTCAGAAATAGCTGTAAATTCCTAATCATTTTTATGCATACTTAAGAAATTTTCGAGTTTCGAAGATTTCATCTGTACACGAGAATTAGTGTACACGAGAATTATCTGCACACGTTCACAGCAATCTAGTGCTGCGAGACTAGGAAGTATGGCTGATCTATTTATACTAATTTAAGTGTCCTATTCAACGTGTGAACAAGACTAATTAGCCATACTAGCTTGTTAAAGCCTAAGCTAACCTTGTCATTGCTTGATTATTTTTGATTGTGAAATTGTTCAACCTCCATTCATGAGTAATTGAATCAAGTTACCTGGAGCGCGAGTTTCGATCTGCAGCTAAATTTTAGCTCAAGCTTTCCTCGATAGTTTGACCTTTTCAAATATTCTGAAACATTCCATTATTTGCTGGAATGACTTACGCATTTCGTCTTGGTTTTTCTTATCAACTTTTTATTAATGCCATTTCCGACCGGTCGTCTGTCGGGAGCGAGTGTGTACGATTTTTCTTGTCACCCAAAGTTCCGTCCTGTCTTCTAATAGCTTCCTCATTTTTGACTATATGAGCAGAGAATCCCTCAGGGAGATTCTCTGATGAGGAATTTGCCTATCAGAGTTTCATAGGGAATTCGCGCTCCCTGGGGCAGTCCCTAGCGATCCAGCTTTATTCACGAGTACATTGCCATTCTGTCAGCATCTCTAGTTAATAGTATAGAAACATAGCGTTTTTTAGTAACTTAGCTGTAGAAGGAGGTACGTTAATGCCCTTTTGAATTAGAGAGCTCATTGATTAGACATGCCTCTAAACATATGAGCATCTGCACGCGACTACGTTCTCTTAACATCAACTATATAATGAACTTCTCTGCTCTCTCGGATTTACGGTCGATTGTTAACACGAATATACAGATGATGAATTGAGATGTTGTTGATTTATTAGCTGATAATCGGACATTCGTGTAGTCTTACTCCTTTCATATACTGGTTACATTTCCTGTTTGGCAAGGTAATTACAAAATTGCTCATATCCCGAGATGTGTATGTGCTCCTAAAGAGTTACTATGCAGAATTAGTAGAATGGAAACACGTCAATTAGATAGTTTAGAATTAGTACGGGAATGTATATCCGAGTACCAGCAACAGACATTCACACATTTTGTCACGTACAACAGAAGTCCGATGTTCGGCAAAGAAGGTGAGCAAATGCATCATAGACCAAACCCTACTCGTGTGTTGTCCTGGCTGTCAATGAGCTATTCGAGGTCATTTTTCATTTTGGCTTAAATTATTCTGACATTTCAAAGCTATAGCAAATCTGTGTTCAATTTTGATTGAGGAGTTATTGTTGTTTCGGCTGGAGGCATTTTCATAAGTGCTCTAAATTGTTTTCTTTGTCCAGACTTCATCCCTGACGTGAGCAAAGGCCGTCTGCATTACTGGTCACACTGCGGCAAGATGGGCGTGCCTATCCACTATGACGGCGTGCCTTTCGTGCACGTGGGACGCTGGTCGCTCGTGTGTCATCAAGGCCGCGACACCGGCATCAGCAGGAAGATCAAATATTTCGAGGAAAAGCTTAGGAAGTCTGAGACTAGCGTCTCTGTTCAGACACTACGTAAATCATCGACAAAAAAAGTTGACTGCCCCGCACAAATTTACGTATCACATATTATTAAATACCCTCAATTCAGAGTCCCAGAAAAGTTATTAGAGACAAACTCATTGCCAACAGAGCAAATAAGGCGTGTCACGAAACGCAAGATTCGACAGCGATATATATGCAACAGGTCAAGTATAGTGCGGTTGCATCGCTACTATATCAGTTTACCGGCACCTGACGACCACCAGGGCCATCCTTTGGTATCCAGAGTGCCCAGCGATGGCTCTCAAACCCCAAGAAAAATTGTGTCTAACCCGTCCACTCTGGATCGACGAAACGTGAACAAGAACAGAGATAAGCACCGACGAACCAGAGAACCTATCGACGAACGAGTGGCTCAGAAGCTACTTGAATTAGTAAACTCAGGGTACAGTTCGACTGCCATAATCAGGACGGAGCTCAATAAATATGTCATCAAAGAGTTATTTGCCGGCGAGCAGCCCCCGCCCGCGATGTTCCGGCGATACAACCCTACAAGCAGAGATATTCTCAATGCTTTGCACCGCGTTAAGATGGAAAGAGCCAAGGCAAGGCGTTCTGTTTTGCATTCCATGTGCGAGGCTTCGATTGCTTCTATAAAAGAGTCTGTGTCTTCCCTGCATAACGAGGACGAGCTGGCTAGAGCCTGCCAACAGCTACAAGACTTGGCTGAGCAGCTGAGAAATAACATGGCAGGGTCGGTCAGTATTCACCAGGTGTCATGTGACGAGACCTTAAACCCGTACACTTTAGTGACCGTCATCGAAGAGAAGCAAGACATCGAAGAAAAGGGAGTCCACAAAGAGAAGGAAGTCTTTGTCAGTGATGCGATTGAAAGGTTAACACAAAAGGAAGACATTGAATTTTTATCGTGAGTTCATGAACGCTATGTTATTATTGAAGATGAATAAATATAGTTTTATAACAATTCTGCTCAAAGTAACTGGTACTGCATGTCGTTTCATTAAATTTATTAAAAACATATTGATAGATTCATAAACTTTTATATCTTTCATTGCAGTATCACATTCGAGGAGAACAGACTTCAATACTAACGGCTGCGTAATAATTTATTAGAATTAACTCCATTACATTTACGGATCATCTTCGCCACGATCATCTTCTTCGATTTCTGGCATCGAAAAACGCAAAACCGCCGCGACGCCAGTTATCTGATCCAATTCTGCACAAATTTTCAATGTTAATAATAAGAATGTTAATGCTATCGACTTACTCCTATCATCTCGTGAACAAATGTCTATAACACCTATTCATATGCAGATTTGTATATATTAATCAATGCATATTTTATAATTTCTCACGTTCTCCGGTGACGTGTAGAGAGGAAAATATCTTGACATCTCCCCCGTTGTTTTTAACTTGCTCGACAAGGGCGATGTATCGGCGGCGCTCAGCGTTGTCAACAGACCTGAAATTATAGAATAAACGAGCCATTGCCTTCACTATTCATTGTTTACTATTCGGAAAATGATCCTCTACAATACGAAGAAGAGGGTTTTGTTTTTGCAAGACGACGAAGAGAGCAAAAAGACCCTCGCTAAACAATTCCCGTCCTCAAGCCAGAGGAATTAATTATAAATAAAACACGTAGTTTATGTTTTGGAACGTAGCAATACCAAAAAATTCATTGTTCATGCACGTGTTGGTTGGTACGTATATGATCAAACGCCCTTACTGCTTTTTCTCTGTCACTTTTTTATTATTATTTTTTTTTTTGGCTGAAGGCTACATTTAAATATATTTCCCACTCTACTATCTGGAAGAATATTTCAGAAAAGGCTATTTATACATGTATTTCAGATGCGTTACCATCACAATTCCGCAATCCTTCATACTATCATGAGCGTAAGTGACCCCACTGAACTATGACAAACCGGACAGGCTATTCTTAGCGCTTTCCGAGTAAGCGAGCACCACTCATAACCAGAGCTGGGCAGCGCTACTTTGAAATAATGTAGCGGCCGCTACCGCTACATGCTCTAAATGTAGCGGGCGCTACCGCTACCTTGCTTTAAATGTAGCGCCGCTACCGCTACTGAAAATGCAGCGGCCGCTACATGTAGCACGCTACTGCCCACCTCTGCGCATAACACTACAACAAACTGAAGGCCGTATTCTCGGGGCACCTGAACAGCGTATCTGAGACGAGAAGTGCCTCGACGGCCTGGTTGTTGGCGGCGCGCTTGACGTGCTTGTAGCCGTAGTAGGCTCGGTCTGGCGTCGACCCCAGCAGGCACAGGAACTGCTGCAGGAGTCTGCTCGAGCACGGTACAAGTAAATTATCGCTACTAATATATTCGAATAAGCTTCAATTAGAAGAAATAGTCGGCGTTAATGAACATCATGAGAAGCTGCATTATCAATGAATCAGGCTGTTCGAAAGCATGCTTGTAAAATGAACAAGAACATACAAGCAGATGAACAGTACATGCATATGTACAATCGAGACGAACGTAAAGTCTTATCCCGCGCCACAAAAATGTTATCTTGATACGATTCTGTCATCTAAACCCCAGAGCTGGTAGCACAGGAGTATATAAGAAAAATAAACTGCAAATGAATTGCTTTCGAAAGAAACTACGCTAGTTACTGCTTAATTTAGTGAACATGAAAGTTTTCCTGCATTACTTTCGGTTTGAGATCTTGCGCCTCAACTCAACTCTGTGTAAATTCATATTCTGAACAGTTACCGGAAAAATAACTAGAAGGCAAACGTGCGTACATTGACAATGCAACAGGTAGACGCCCTAAAAGTTGTTGAAATGTGCTTACTTGCCACGCATCTAAACATAATATAACTTACATCCATGATCATTACAATCCCGACAGTTCGCATCTCACCATGTTGTGCGACTGACCTTGTCTCTCCAGCGGCTTTCACGTCAGAGAGCCTCTGCGCCACCGCTGGGTCTTGCAGGGCCTCCCGTATAGCGTGCTTGAAGCCGTTGCTTGAGTGCACCAACACAAACTTACTCCTGAGAGAAGCAACAACTTGGTCATGCATGTTACTCGTGCATTATTACCTTGCAAATAATATGTCTTACATGTCGCTTGTTGACTGGTACCTATTGTTAACGCAATCAAACCCATGTTTGCAATCCATGACTTCTTCAAAGTCGTATTTTCGTTTAAGGTTATGCGCTCACAGTTCGAGGCACGCACTTGTACAACGTATATCAACCAGAAGCAAAAAAAAGTGGAAAAATAGCATTGTTTTTTAATCCAAGGACGAGACATCCTTGAAATAAAGTACCAAACATTTCTCATGGTAATTTGGTTCTATTTAATTAGTCTTGAATATTTATTATTAATTTTTACCATACTATATGAATGAATATATATTACATTTCACTATACTATAGGGTATTTGTTTGGCCGAACAATTCTTTTTGCCCTAGAACTTGCAATCACAACTTGCAGCCAAACTAGCATTGGGCAATATTTGAAAATAGTTGATAATTTTTTAGAATTATTGGTCAAAACATAGCAATAAAAATTATGACGTACCTATTCTCCAATATTTGTTTATTGCCTTTTTCAGTGGCATCCTTCATTAAGTAGTTGAGGAATTCTTCTCTCAAGAAGCCCGGCGAGGCCACGAGCACGGCTTTCAAAACTTCAAAATTGAGGTGGCGGTAAACTGATGCTGCAATTTGCTCGTAAAATTTGAGGAAATTCTGGAAGATAAAGTTTCGTCTTTGACATGTACTTACGCGTTAGTAAAACAAAGTTTTTTTATTTCATTGATTACATCAAACGAATCTTCTGAAAAACAACTCGAAAAACATAAAACAGACGATGCTGTTCAGATGGTCCGTTACGCATGCGCGGTGAACTCATTAGGCAAGTAGAATTAAAACAGAGTGAGAGCTTTTAGTCGAAGGTTCATGATGTATTTCCTCATTGCAAGTTGTATTTTTCAATTATATTATCAAATATGAAAGTCTGCAAGAAACCGATCACCATATTGCTAGTTTTTTTTCAGTAGACGCGATTCGTGTAAAGTTAAGCAGTGTAATGGGCTCGGTAAATACGGGCGAGAAGCATGCATAAATAGCATTGCAGTTGGGGCAGAAAAAATACAATTAAATGCTTTTAAAACAAATTATTCTATTAAGAGCACAAACTTGTCGTGATACCTTTTTACGCTGACTGTCGTCTGCTTTTCCTTTTTTTGGAATATTGACGTCTATTTTGGAACGCTCGACGGTCATAGCTGATGTGATGAGACAGACGTAGGCGAGACCTTCCTGGATCGTGATGGCGGCCAGCTCCGCATGCTGAAATTTTCCAAAAGTTAAAAAAGCCTTAAATCTCCTCAGGAAATAACCTGATATCAACGCAGTTGAGAGGCAATGATAAAAGGAATTAAATACTTTGTGAATTTTGTTAGTTGAAAGCTCCAAAAGTAGTTAAGTCAATGAACACTTATTAAAGCCAGCTAAAAACTTGAACTAAACCGTTAATAAGACAGCATGATAGGCAAATGATATTTCGAAAACTGAAAACGACACGTTTTTTCTTCTTGATGCTAAAATACATAGTTTTGAAATAAGTGAAGAATTGCAGTAACTCCGTTCGAATCACTGTTAATTAGGATAATTGCTTATTCAATTAATGGATTAATTATACGGTACTCATAGTTAATTGAATTATACAGGACGTAATGTGACTGGCCTTAGTTGGGTCGCAGGCGTTCTCTATCCTCTCTATGGTGATGGAGTCCCACTCGTTCTTGTAGACGGTGAACTTCCTGTTGGGCTCAACGTCCAGCGTGTGGTAGCCTCCCATCTTGATGAAATCGCTCTCTTGTACATTGCGACCTTTCACTCTGAACATAATAATAATATTGATATAGTGGTGTCAGCTTTGGTAATGCCATATTAACCTGTCATCAATTCTTACCCACTCGGCCACCTTACCGACTTCAAAAATAATTTCAACAATTAGCAACGTGTTTCGAACCCACATCTCGCTTCTTCAATCTTAGTGATCAAAACCTCTCTGGATAAGACAACCTCTTGAATACTGGCTAAGTTCCACGTCCTAGGTTTTTACAGCGGCAAATAACATAACTAATATACGATCAATTCTGGTGTGGTGACGTGGTGGTGCAGTGAATGACCTGAGCTTGCAGGCGGAGGCGTCGAAGTCGGTGGTCTCAACCTGCAGCCTGATGGTGGTCTTGACGCGGCGCGCGTTGTTCGTGCTGCCCGTGGCGGTCTCCTGCTGCACCTTCCTGAACGTCGTGGCTTTGAGCTCGTCCCCGGGACTGATGATGTTGTACACGTGCCACATGTCCTCCCCTTCGTCCGCCATCAGCACAAAATGGCTGGTACAGTCAAGAGAATAATTCAGTATTTTTATAAGGTCCATCTGCACATTAAGCACTGAAACATTTTGTGAGACGAAGACAGAGTGAATAATTTAGGCCTATGTAGCAATCAACTGAGAGAACAACGTTGCTGTATCACATGAAATTGATTGTCGTCATCAAAATTGCTGACAATGAAGATACATTCAAACAAAAGCATCCATGGGAATTTCATTAAATACTGCAAAAGTAGAAAAAATATACCATAATCAGTTCATGGCTGAGAGGAGAGCGTTTCTTTTTTTCAAGAACTGCAAACCATGGAATGAGCCGGTTTCCTAATTTGTTCTAATGCCGCTCCATCCCATCACCTAAAGTTGAGAAATATCACACGAACACAATTTGAAAATTGATAATTGGTTACCTAAAGCAGGTATGGTGTTAGAAATGTCTATGCAATGCTTAAAATTAAAAACTCATGTTTATGCAAGACTAAGCAAAAAGTCTTACGTCTGCTGTTCAAAAGTCATTACTCACCCACTCCTGTTCTTCTCGAGTTCTCGATGAAAAATCTTCATGGTGAAAGGATTCAAGAATGGAATAGAGAACTAGAAAAAAATAATTGTGTCACGGATGTTGAAGGATGTTATTAACATCCGTGGCTTATATTCATTAACTGTAAAATTTAATCACAAACGATCATAAGACAAAATAACTCAACTGAAAACTTAATTCCATCCACATTCAAAGTTGAATTTTGAATTTGACACCTCGTGGCTATCTTTACTACTGATGAGGCGACGCTTTTGAAGGCTTGATGAAGAACCATAATTGATAAGAATGGCGCTACAAGGAGGAGGAATAGAAAATTAGGAACGGTAGGCATCATCAAGCAAAAACAGAAGATTGATAATAGAAAAATACCTTGATGAAACAATAAATGATGTTAAAATGATGCCAATATATTACCTTTTAATCATCAAATTAGCAACTGAAAATGAAAGTGAAGTAATTTTTCGAATAATACATCTAAATGAATACTGAACGATAATGGGATACATAACAACAACGCCGAATGTCCGAAGTCTTTTGAAATATTAGATATGTTTGGGCGATATAAATAAATGATGAGTGAGAATGAAACGTACTGCAAAAAGCTGGGGCTACCGGGGGGTCGCCGCACCCCCAATGAGGAAAGACCCCACCCCTGCGGCACATAAATGGATCTACAGTTTTTCGGCTACTTGAAAAATATTTTAATTTATATTCGTATCAGGAGTTACATAAAGCATAAACACTATTGAAATTTAAGAGCAAAACGGCATGATAACCATTTATGGATGAGAGTGTCTGCTGAAATGAATAACAATGAAGTTTCGGGAAATTTATAAACAAATTTCTAGCCGATAATAGATAACAAGTAATGATGAGGCCAGAATTCCGAGGTGTTAAAAGAAGCAATCGATGAGAAATGAGTTAGTCTCATCACTTAGGTCACATCGGGATAGAGGAAAACACTTGTAAAACACTTTTCAGAACCAATAGATTCGCATATGATATTTCAAGAATTGCACATTACGGTAATTCCAGCACTAGAATTAATATCGTTAATTTCTGTAACTCAGATGCCATTCAATCACAGTAGGTATATAATATACAACTCTGAAGTAAACATTTAAACTCAATGCATCAACCAAGATCCTGGGTTATGAGCCATTTGCAATGCTGTTCATAAGCTTATTCCCCGATGTGGTGCCAGTGGTAGCCACAATAATTCTCTTCCCAGTTCTCAATCCCAGCAATCGGAAGGCCGCCAGTTCCGCAAAAGTGACACCACCACAAACGAGCACAACAACAACAGGAGGCAGCAGCGTGGCATCGCCAGACCAGCCAAACGAAGTTGTTGACCCAGGGATAAGTTTAAGTGCGTCGCTTATGCTCTGCAAGCCATCAGTCAGACACTGAGACACGAGCTGAACGATGGCGGGAGTGTAGGCACCATTGAAAACGTAGCTAAGATGACTAGGATTGTGAAGATCAATCAACTCTTCAGCATCAGGGATAAGTTTCAAAAACTTTGTTAGTGAACGCCACGCAGCAAATTGCCCTTTGCTCATGAGGTTAGAAGCGGCTTGTCGCAGTCCCCGCATGGCGCTGCTCTGTGGTTGGTCCATCGAGGCCGAGTCTGACACGTTCAACAGTCCAACCTGTCTCAAGTCAAACAAGGTAAGAATATGCTTGTGTCCACAAGCAGCCACTAACTGCGAAGTGAGTGATTCGTATTCCTTCAATGACAAGCCATTGCTCTGAGTCAGAGAAAGTAAACAGAGCAGTCGTAAGCAAGAAGATAAAGGAAGTTGTCTAGCACAACAGTCTTCAAAGTAAGTCTTGGCTTCACTAGCAGCAGTAGCACCGGTGACCAATCCGTGTTCAGTTGTTAGCTGAACATCAAAGTCTCGTCGAGTTGCCTTCGTGATTGCCTCGCAGATTGACAAATGCAGAGAAATGCTGTTCTGCTGCGCTTGTAGCTGCTTCAGATCAAATGCAACAAACTCTTTCATTTGTGCGGGCGTCATCTTCTTTGATTCTTCTTTCCTTGTTTGAATTTCCTTAGCTCGTCTTACCAACACTCCGGCCACACCAGCGAAATGTTTATGACGCACCGAAGCAAATATCGAGTCCTTGGAATTGAGCATAATTTTTGAGGCACTGGGCTTGTTGGCATCAGGATTCAAGTTCTCAGGCAGCTCAACTACTCCTGCGTGGATGCCGTAGTGCTCATCAATGGAGCCCTCATAGGTGAGCTGCGTCAGGAGGGGCGTCACAAGATCTGCATCGCGGTCCAAAATGAAAAGGTGGCCAATCTGAGATTTCTGCAATTTTAGAAAATAAATTTCAATGAAAATAGTAAATATAACGTGCACCTTAATAGCAAACATCAAAATATAACAATACACATAACAATAAAAAACAGGTGATGATATATTTCCTCAGATAAATGAGAATAAACATTCAATAGCTTAGGTACTATATGGTATGTGCCTAAACATAAGCATGACATTTCAAAATGAACCTAACATCATAAATAAAAGATTGAACACAAAAAAAAAGCAAAAAACTCCAATGCCAGAAAAGATGACCATGATAAGTTGGATAACATCATTCACTGCTGCAAGTTTAATGATCTTAAACAGCATGGTAAATTCAAGATAGAAGAAGTTACAGTTTTTGTAGAATGGTGAGATTCGTCAATGTCACTTCTGAGTCGTTGGAATGAAGTGATGACAGCGTGGGCAGCTCTGCCGTGACTCAAGAGGCGCTGTGGAGCGCCAAATAAACTACACAGCAGGTGTAATGACTGGCCAATACCAGCACAGCTGCTGAAGTCCCCTTCCACAAAAGCATCCCTGGAAAAATTAAAAATAATTAGATTAAACATCAGTAATAAAATCAAAAATGTTCTTACTCATCAACATCATCATTGAATTCATTGAAGAAATTACTGTTTTGTTTAAAGTCAGCTAAGTACAAGCTTTTAAAGGGTTGTGAAGATCAACCTGTTCTATTCATATATAATATGATTTACTCATCAAACCCCAAGTAGAAAAGAACTATAAAAATGTGCAACTTAATTGGCAAGTATACTATGACAGGTGCAATATATAAAAGTGCTATTTTCAGGCTTCCTACTATACCTGAAAAAATTTGGCATCTCCAGTGTAAGCAAATCATCATCCAAAGGAACAAATCCTGGGCAAAAGGAATGCAAGGACACAAGGCCACCACCAGCTAAGCCTTCTTCTTCCAGCTGGCACTCCACAGAATAAGTTATGCTTGGCACACATACCACCAAGATACGGCTGGAAACGGAACGCAAGTGTTATTGACGTCAGAAATAATGTAAGCAGCATATTTTTGCCATTTTGGCAGTGAATTAGGAGATCAATAAAAAGGCAATTAATTCATATTGCTATGTAACCTACCAAGGATTTTAAGAAAATGCATCCATATAAAAGTTTCATTGCATTTTGTCATCAAGGTTTGCTACAATATAGCCAATTTTCTCCAAGATGAGAGCAGGTTATTGTAAATTCTGAAGACATTATCCTCATCAAGAGATGTAAATTGAAGGATAGTTTTTTATCCTCCAACACCATGCAATATGTAAATAGTTGCCTTGTCCATTGCTTAGTAACATAAATAATATAATGAGTAGTTTAACATGGAGTAGTACCTAGGTACTTGAACACATTTATTTATTACAAATACCTGATAGGCACCCTATGGCTTTGTTGCTGGTTTTGTGATTTTTGTTGATACTGAAGCTGTTCTTGTTTTAGTTCTTGCTGATGGTGGTTGAGATGCTCTGCAATAAACTTCACAGAATCAGGAATTGATCGGACCATGTACATGCGCTGGGCACACTGGCCTGAGGGTGGAACTTGCTCAAGACGGAAGATCTTTTCTACATCATGTTCTCTGTGGAAAAATATTGCATGTCATGAACAATGCACATAAAAATCATTAATTCTTATTATTAATAATTTCTAATAACTCTAACTAGTTATTTCTTGTGATACATTCAGTGCAGTGCCAACTTTCATTTGAATGATAGGGAATTTTTCTCATAATCCCTAATTGTGCACACACCATTGAATAATTGATGCCATCACACTGAGAAACATACCTAACTCTACATATTAAAACCATAAGAAATATAGTTGTATAGATACTGTACCTTCATGACATTCAATAAATATTTTTATTGCCATTTAGCCAGTTTTAGTTAATTTGGCAATTGTGACCAATCTTTTCATAATATCAATTCTAACAAAAAATTTGTTTAGCTGATGCTAAAACCACCAAGGAATAATAAAAATGTTCTGAAGTATACTTTCGATATAAAATAGCTCCTTTATGTAATAGCAACTGTTTTCACTCAAGACAGCCCTTGGCCTACAAAACAATATCAAACATGGTATAATTATATCTCTTTTCTTAAACTACAAACAGCAAAAAAAGGCCAAATAAATTTGCCATATCTTCATAAAAATCTTTTTGAGACAACCTCAATTGTCGATTCAAAAGTTTAGAGAATAACATGTATATACAATCTAAAATGCAAATTTATCCCTTTCATGGGCAAGTGACCATATGAAGACACTTGACCTTCAAACTTCCTTCAAAAAAAAAAAAAAAACATGACTCCCAATTCCTGCCTCTGACAATCGCCAATTTTCTGACACTCATTCCATGCAGAGCATCACTTCATATCTTGGCCAAAGTTTAAATATAAGCATTTAATTTTAAGTTTCAGCTTGAACAATGAAATTTAGGCCTTTCTTGCATTTTGTTAAAAGACAGAAGTAGCACTGTATCTCAACTTAACTAATGTAACTTGGTGAAATTTAATTATATTAAACTTAGATAGTTACTTTTTTATTTGAATCTTATAATTTGAATTTTATTAAATATTTTTCAGAATAATGACCATAATCAATTATTCAACTGCAAATTACTCCTTCAATAAGAAAATTTTGGAAAATACATACAAGTAAATATACCATATTTCATAATTTTTCATACCTATTAGTACACTAAATATCATTGGCTTGGGTAATTACAGTAAAAATTACAAATAAATACTGGCACCAATTTGTGCATAGCAATCTTGGCTAGGCACCTGACACTCTGTCCACAAGTCAGACCCATACGGAGCCCATTCCATGTACATAACAGAAACAACTCGTACACAGCATGAATACATTGATTTTACCAATATATTCAAGTTTTGGTCAATAGCCAGACAGAATTAGTGACATTACCATACAGGGGTTAGAAATCTGAACAAAATTGCAATCCTCTGCACCTAGTTTGTACTTGAAAACCAGATGCAAAAATAAATGAACTACATTACTGGACATTCAAAAATTGCCAAACTTATTAGGTTAGGGTTTGAATTAGGGTTAGGTGTGAACAAAAAACTTCTCTATGTTGCTGGACCTCTTTCTAACAAGATTAGGTCCAGTGAGGACAAGTTCTTCTTCAATTTCTTTTTTTGCAATTTTAGGAAGGTTGTTGGTACAAAATAATCATACTGTTACATATTATAAATGAAAATTTAAATCAGTGAATTTTATGGTCATCAACTGCCCAAGTTAAGCAATAAATATACCGTATATATACCTACTATCAGGGAGATTAAACATCAAGCTCTAGGTTTAAACTATGGACTAATTACAGATACAATCAAAATAAAAAATTCCTTACCTTAAAGTGGCTGCTTGTGAAAGACGATCCAGAAACTTCATCAAACTTGCATCAATAATCAGATCTTTCTTGCCAGGCAGCTCTTCCAAACAACAAACTAATGAGCGGCAGCCCAGCTCTCTAAGCATCCATACATCAACTCCTGACACTATTTTATCACAGTGACCAGACATACCAGACATGACCTGAAAGTAAAAGCATTCATTTTCTATTTGACAATTGTTAGACTTTTTGTGAACATGATAAAAAATACATATCAGTGATATCACAACTTTTTCATCACATATATTTGTAATAAGTATTCACATACACATATAATAGGTATTATATATATATATATATATATATGTTGTGCTACTGACCTAAGAAGATGTACAACATTTTCATGTATATATAAGTCAGATGGGGTAAGACAGGACCGAAATCACTAACAAGCATGTAGCATCTATACCATGAATAGCTTAAAAATCCTAAACCTATCACAAGGTGTAGTTATGCAATGGGCTTCAAAGCTACAACTCAGACTTTTTGGATACAACACAGATTTCTGTACAGATTAAAAAAAGTGAGCTGGTCCCATCTTACCACATTGGGGTAAGATGGGACCAGGCTGGGGTAAGACGGGACCAACTGGTAATTCTTATGTTACAAGGTTTTTAATAAAATTACAAACATGATATTCAATTTTATCCATCTAGAAACACATTATCTGATTAAACAACCACTTGTTACTGTTTTGTGCTGCAGGAAGTCAACTCTAATATCAGTCACATTAGAGTTTTTGTCACAATAAAACTTTGTTAAGCATAGAAATAGTAGGTTGGCTTTGATTCATTGTAGAGCACTGCTAAATGCTTCATGTATATTCCATTAGTGTCATTGTCTGAAAATTTATCAAATTGTAATAAAACCAATGGATAATAACTTAAGAGTCAGACGTCATGTGTTTTCTTGCTAACTGCATTTGTAGTGCACTTCTTCAAACGTAGCCCATGCTCTCTCACAAAGTTATGATAATAATTATTTTTTATGTTTTGCACAATGATTTTTCCCCCAATCACTCTTGCACATACCGTAAACTGGGGTAACTTAGACTCCCGGGGTAACTTAGACCACTTTTCGTTTTTTTAACATAAACCCCCAAAACTCAAAAACTATTTGACATAGAAAAATTCTGTCAATGGGCATTAAAGGCCTAATACTGAAGCTACGTAACACAATAGAAAGATTTAAAAAGTTTGCATATCTAATAGGTTAAAAAATTAAAAACATGACCCTCAAAAAAAAGCTATTATTTAAAGCCTGTCGGAGTACCCCCTCCAATTTTTTTATTTTTTGGCAAAATAACTCCAGGTTTCGATGCATTGTAGTACAACTCTTCTAGTTACATATGCAACAAACAAATTTTAGGAAGGTCTCATAGTTTGCAAATGGGGGGCGCCGCCCCCCAATGGGGGAACTTAGACCACCTAATGTCAGCCCTGACGGGGTAACATAGACAGGCTTGGAAATTAATTTAAAATTACCATATATAACATTTCATGTTTGATACACCTATTAATGTTTTTTCTTAAAGTTTCAGACTCTACAGAGTCTTATATATGGTAATTTTAACTTAATTTCCAAGCCGGTCTATGTTAACCCTGTCAGGGCTGCCATTAGGTGGCCAGAGTTCCCCCGTTTGGGGGAACTTAGACCACCTGGGGGGCGGGACCCCCCATTTGCAAACTATGAAACTTTCCTCAAATTTGTCATTTGCATATGTAACTAGAAGAGTTCTACTACAATGCACCAAAACCTGGAGTTATTTGGAGTTATTTTACCAAAAAATAGAATTGATTTTGCCACACAGTCTAAGATACCCCCAGAGCTGGGGTAAAAAAGACCATCAATTTTTTTAAATTACATCAAAACTATGAGAGGCAGGAGCCAGCAATTTATGGTGAGTGAAGCTAGAGTATAGACCTGTATTTTGCATGTTTCAATTTAAGTTTAACTTATCTAGTAAAAAAAATGGCATCATTCAAAAAAAAAAGTGGTCTAAGTTACCCCAGTTTATGGTAGTTCTGCAGCTCACTAATGGGAAGAGACATCCCTATTTTCTCCAACCCCATGATACAATTTTCAATAGTAAGCTAAATTTCTCTAATTAAAAAAGCTAACGAGTTAGAATGGTTATTTTGAGCAAAAGATACAAATTTTGACCAAAATACTCCACGTTTACTTATGCACAATAATATATTCATTTAAAAGCTACTTTTGATAAACTATGGGGTAAGAGAGGGCCATTTGTGGGGTAAGATAGGACCACTTGTGGGGTAAACAGGATCATGTAGTGGTCCTGTTTTACCCCATGTCCAGTCCTTTTTTACCCCATTTTAGAATAGATGTCAGGCAGTGATGGTAGCAGGTAGGAATGCCTAGTATGTCTCAAAAGTTGTTTGTTACTTAAGGTTACCTGCCTACATCCACAAACCTGGGGCCGTATCATCAAAAGCTCGTAAGTACGCAAACTCGACTTACGAGTGGCGTTGCTATGACAACGTAATACTAGCGGTGGTATTATCAAAACATTTGAGCGGGAAACATTTGTGCGGGAAAAACATTTACGCTTTTAGCTAAGACTTGCGTACGAAAATTTTGATAATGCCAAAATTAGGGTGTATTTACGTACCACATAACTTTTTTGTCGTAAGTACAAAAAGTTACGAAGTTTTGATAATCCGGCCCCTGGCCAAAAAATTTTTTGTTAATCAGACAGAGCCTTTTTCCCAAATAGGGTTAACTATTTTGTGACCCTTCTTTACATAGGTTTTCTTTAAGAATTAACCAGAAATTCAATATTTGCAGAAGAGGGTTGAAACAAACACTGAAATTACTGGCAATGATTGCTCCAACATATTCTTCCATCAAATTGAATTCAGTGCAATTAGAATGCACGCCATGGGCCGGTTCTTTCTTACCCCATGAAGGCTGCGATCCTGTCTTACCCCATTTGACTATAATATCAATAATTTAATTTATACTAGACAAAGCCAAACTTCACAAATTTCTATCAAATATTATTATTGGATTACAAGGCTTTTAGCACTAATGCCTTGCCCAGCTTGCAGTGTTAGAAACCAAGCATAGTGCAAGATTGCTAAAGGGGAAAATTGAAAAACTTCACCTTTAATCAAAATAGTGCATCAGCAAAATTCAATGGATTGAAAATCTTATCACTTCAAAATCATGCATTTTATTATTATTGGAAATTACACAGCTTGCAAATATGTAATTTGAAGATAATTTGGAATTCCTTAGTTCAGTACAATGGTCAGGCCCAAAGTTTCAATACACAAAACTTTTACATTAATGTTTTGGTAGTTGCAGATTTGCTATTATGTCAGAAACAGCTAGACTCCTGCGTTTGGGATTTTTTTTAACCGAGACGAGACGAGACAACAGGCTCTGTCCCAGTTCGCAATAAAAACCGGGACAATTTTCAGCCCTCCGTAGGAATTCCGGGACGATACCGAGACGAAACGAGACGTCCCGGTTAAAATAGGTAACTTAAAATTTCCCGGAATTTATAGCCATTTTAATGAGACATAACGAGACGAATCAATTATTGATGTGGGGTAAACTTTGGCTTACCATCATTCATTTAGATAACTTGAGACGTTTCCTTTTACTATTCTGATTGGACCTCGGTAATTGAAATAATTTTTGCTACGAATACATGTTGTAGTTTAATATGGTACTAACCAGGTACGTAATCTTGACAGGTAAATAAAATTAGAAAAGCACGTTATTTATTTTCCAAAAATCGTGTCTTATGATGGGCTGGAGGAGGCAGCCGCCCTACTAGCTGTAGCTGGTGACATCGGCTGACTGTCCATCTCCTTCGACAAAAAGTCTGGAAAGAAATATCAAAAACATTCTAAAATGAAACAAAATTTAAGTTGGAAAAAATATAGTAGTTTTATCTTCAAAAAGAACTCAAAATATCCATGTTTATCCTTTCTAAATAACGTTAAACGAGCGTTCATGAAAAATTCAGGAAACTGCGCAATTGTGAAAATTTCCTGGAGGCGTAGCAAAAATTGTACTAAAAGCAGAGATAATCCAAAAATAGCTTTAGTATTATTAAGAATATCTTACCAGGATCTTTGTCAAACAGGCGAGGTCAGTTTCCAGAACTTGGTTTGGACACAGTCATAGTTTTGTTGGATGAAAAGAAGCTTTTCAACATTTTCTGGCTGAAGCTTGGTCCTCTTGTGCGTGACTATGTTTCCACCATGGGCACCATCCACCTGCAGAGAAGGCTCTTTCGGAAGTTGCCGAAGATGCTGGAATTGCTAGGTAGCGCCGTGCTGCTTCTGCTAATAGAGGTAAAGTCATTTCATGATTTTTCCAAAATCCAAGAACATTTTCCTGGGCTTCCTTTCTAGGCCAAGGATGCATAGATTTGTAGACATCCCATTCCTTAGCGATGTCTGACTGATCCGGAAATGCTGTTACTTGTGATGCTTGAAAGTGAGAATCAATCACATCTAGCGCCAAAGAATCGGTTTCTTCCTCCAAGTTGGCAGTGGTCATTGGTTGATCACTAATTTTGATGAGCCACTCACGATGATTGGTATGGTTTTGAACCAAATACTTGTAGGCATCATCATAGGTTCCAGCCTTTTTGCATGCCACACCCTTATAATAAGGATTAAGGAGATGACCGACAGCAAGTAGCATGGTATGAACGCCAGCATTAGGAAATCTTATATCAAACTTCCTAAACTCATCGATGTGCCTACGAATTAAATGTCTACGCATGCCTGAGGTGTTTCCATCGTTAACCTTGTAACTATTGCCACATAATTTACAGCGAGCATGAGCCTGACTTAGACCTCGGTTATCGTGAGCCTCGTCGGTTTTTTCTTCTTCGAAAAATTTCCAAAGGTCGCCTTTAGGCCTTGGCATCTTGAAGAGAGCAGAGAAGATAGAACGCAGAGAACCACTCCACTGACTACTAATTGGCCGACTAATATAGACACTGCGTCACTCCCTACTCCCTATGCGCTTCGTGGCGCCTGAACTCGTTCCGAACGCGTAATAACCACCGCACCGCACAGAAACGCATTACCTTTCTCATTAAAATTTAATAGTACACCTCGAAGAAAAATATCTCACAGACAAACGATAAATTTCA